TGAAGAAGGAAAGGACAGATTTCTGATGAAATAGAAAAAGCTTTAAATTTTAAGTTGAAAAATCTATGTATTTTGTAAAAAAAATTGAAAATGTATTGAGGAAAAAAAAAAAAAAAACGGAGATAATTTTTCAAAAACCGGAGACCGCCGGAGATGAAGCTCAAAAACCGGAGAGGTGGCAACTCTACGCAAGGAAGAGTCAGTCAGACGCGAGACGTACTAAGTGGGCGTGTTTTTCTACCAAAGTTTTCTTTTATACTAATGTAATCTTTGAGTTTTGTGTGTTAATGAATTATAATTAAAAAACATAGATTGTGTTCTCATTTTACTTTCCGAACAACAGCTCAGCGTCTTTCTGTGAAAAAGAGATAACCTATCGAGTGAAATTTTTCGACACGTGGTCGGTCATAATTGTAGCATCGCTTTGCTCTCGTATAACCGCGTTTCGACGTGGGTAAAAGTGTCCGAGTGGACTGCGTTTTTTGCCGGTGACCGCCATGGAGGTTCTCCACGGAATGGAGTAGTTGATCGGGAAGGACAATTGGACTACGTGGAAATTCACGCCGAGGAATTTATTACCCGCAGTGGAAGGAGCATGTTAGGTGTGTATTGGGGAGGTGAAGAACCCCAGCTCATTTTGAAAGTGCAAGTGTCACGGAACTTGCTAGATACACCAAGGTTTTTTGGAGAGAGAGGGGGGAAAAGGGGGATCGCACGGCCGCTCAAATTTTGGTGATGACGTTGGATTCGAAAGCAGTATCATTGCTATTGGCTTGCGAGACCGCGAGGGACATGTGGGTGCAACTTACTCCGTTTTTGAGTAACAACCGAAGCAGGCTGTGCATGCCGTTCAGTCTGAGTTTTTCGGGTGTAGCTTGTTGTCGGGTGACGACATAATCGACATATCTTGCGAGATTCGAGGGGCTCGTCTTGCGGTTGCAACAATTGAACGTGAAGTCGGACGAGTCAGCTCTTATGGTGCGGTTGCTGGACACGGAATCAGCGTTTCATGGATGTTGTGACAGCTCTTGGTTTACCTGAGAGCACTGCTGATCCCTGCTTATTCGTAAGGAACGTCAACGGGTTTAAATTTTTGGTAGTTTTGCATGGTCAAGACGGGTTGGTGGCTGCGACTAGACAGTAACGGAGAGTAATTTTTGAAGCAGTTGCTGTCACGTTTTAAAATCAATCTCGCCTTTCGAATGCGAGCAAATAAGCATTAGATTTCACAAAAAACGCATTCAGATCTGTCTTCTAGTTATTCCTTTGACGTTCCAGTTCCGGCCTTGGGCCGTACGCACAATTATTCATTGGAATCAGGGCCGACAATTGTATTAACACCTTGCGCCTCGCGACTTAGTCAAACATTTTCAAAGCCGATAAATCGAAGCAGGTGGCACAATTCGCTGACTTCAGAAAGTGACAGTCGGTTCTACTGGTCGGCGTCCTGGCCCTACGCCTCTTGGTCTTCAGTGCCTTTCGGCAGCGGGAATTATGTTGGCACATTGATCGCCAAATTGATTCAAATTTGGCGTCACGTTTCGAATAGCGCAGTTTCGTTGATCTTCGAAGACACTTAAGAAGAAAAGATCATACATTTCAAACTTCCCGCCTGTGGAAACATCCTCGATTCTACAATACGAAGTTCTTATCATTCGAAATATGAAATAGGATAACGAGTTACCAAAAGGGCCAATAAACTATTGTACCTGCTCAGAAAGTTATTCCGATAAAACATACATGAAATTATTGAAAAATACAAAGGCAGGTAACCAAGATCTCTAAGCATCAACATCAATTTGATTGTGAAGGAAGATGACGAGAAATATCACTTTCGGCCTTAGAATTAAAAGGCATCTAAAGCCTTTTGCTAAGGAATCTAAAGCCCTATGGAGCTTTTAATTGTCACATTCATGTAATATTGTTTGTAATCAATGAACTATTGAGTATACCTATCAATCGCCGGTTCTTAATCGGCTATAGGCCCTGAAGTAACCCCTTGATCACCATCACCCTCTGTCAAACTTTCATCTACCCCGTTAGGAACCGCTGGTTTAATGCAATTGATCATTTTCATTGATATTAGTATCCATGTTAACAATAAAGGTATATCTACGAAAGGTAATCTTTCACTAATATTGTTTACTGCTTACATGATGCCTTCTTCATTCATACTGATTAAATTAATTTTTAATATTTACTAAATTTTATTGTAGCCAAAGTAATGTATCTGAAGATGGCAACACATAGATTGCCGAATCGTTGTATGTCAAGACTTAGTGATGAAATAAACGTTTCTCATTTTTATTTACTGAATTTTAATCTTTAAGGTGATTGGCCGTGACATGTCTGCATAACTTTTTATTCTCATGACCACATTCCAACACACATTTTCTGCCAATTTTCATTGAATACTTTGTTGCTCTGGGGCATACTCATACAGCTGCCTGTTTTTTTATTTTGTGTGCAATACATTCTTAATTTATTAATTCACATTTTCACTTTCTACTCATTAACATTTCCTTTGTAATTTTCAATTTCAACATTTCAGAAATGAAATAAATTAATGATTACACTACATGAACCAGGAATTTGAGAAATCCCAAATGTCTGTTTTTTGACAGAACTGTTTTACTACAAAAAAGTTACAAATTTAGGTTCATCTATTGAGAGCAAAATCCCTTATGTCAACCCTTCAATTATTAAAGTTAGCTTAGAAGTTTGAAATTCCAGGGGACTTCAGATTGAGATTACATGCTGGGTTCACTACCCATAATTTCTGAATTGACATTTAAATTTAAAAATGATACCACAATTTTTTTGGTCAAAATCTGGTAAATCCACTGTTTTTTATTTGAAAATTATCAATGAAAACTTTGATCAAATGCTAGGTGAACCTTAGATTAACATCTGCTGCAAAAGAGGAGAATCAGGGCCGTCCCGCACTGGTTTGCCACCCTAGTGTATGTACATTTTACTGCTTGCAAAAGGAATACTATAATTACATACTTTTAACAGTAAAAAAGTTTAATTGTTTAAAATAGTAGTTATTGATGTATTTTTATATATTTATTTATTAAATAATAAATAATATCTATGTAGAGTATGAAATATACAGTAATATACAATTAGCATAAGTATAAAAATATATAATTGTACAAAATTTTTCAAAGGCATTTTTCGATTTTTCAATCTTGCAAATGTTTTTATAATACTCAGTAAATTAATATTGTTGCAGATTTCACTTTCAATTGATATCGTTGCTAGATCTATTAATCTTTCTTGCGACATGGTTGATCAAAGGAAGTTTTTAATAATTTTTAATTTTGAAAATGTTTTTCCTCTGGTTGCTTT